TATCGGTGATTTTGAGAAAGTATGCAATGATCATGATGGTTATCTGCAAAAAAGTTTAAACGTATTAGATGATGATTTTTTAAAACTATCGTCATAAAAGCATACCTCAAAAAACCGAGAATAGTTTATGATGAACAGTGTAGACAAGTTGAACCCAATAACATGACCGCAAAGACTCTCAATGATCAGACTCAACTGAAAAACAAAAAATGAATTTAATTTGATTAAAAATTAATTTAATGATGTACCTTGAAAAGTGCTCGGTACCCCAGTGAACCATGGAGGGCGACGTACATACGACCGAGAGAGGCACGAACATTGTTCGACTCGTGGTACACAACCGAAGCAGTGTTTAGGAGGAAAAAGATGGCTAACACTGAAAGACCGGCAGCGTAGAAGAGCGATGTTTGCACGATCCACGACATGGGGGCAAATAAAGCCGCAAAAAGGACCACATTGAGAAATGTTGACATGAAGAAGACGATGAAGAAGAGAATGCTCGCCCAGTAGGTGCTGTTGTAGAGACGGACCTTATCAGAGACGTCCATGACCTGCTTCTCCATCACGTACTGGCTCGTCTGGCGAAACTGACTGGGAAACTGGACTGCCCGACAGGCTCGATCGCCCGTTTCGCGCAGTCGGTACTTTATCAGATGACAGAGAATGTAAAAGTAGGCGATGTTCCAGAAGTAAGCGCTGAATGTGTAGAAGGAGGAGATGGCAAAGACGATGCTCCAGGGTAAGCCAAAGAGAAGAGTCTGAGTGGAGGAGCTGTTGACCATCAGCGGGAAGATGCTCATGACAAAGGAGACGACAAAGACGAGGCGAGTGTTGAACTGCGTCATATTAAAGATGGCTTTTGAGCGCACCACCAGACCGTTGATGTGCTTTCCATTGCGCAGACCGGCCTTGACGGGCGTGCACTTGCCGGCGAGAAACTTGTAGCACTCCAGAAACTCGGGCTTCTGTTTGACGTAGTAGCGGGCGGCGTTCAGTGTGAGAATGCTCATTCCGACGAGCATGTACTGGGTGGCGGCCACGTTGATGTGTGTCTTTGCTCTGATGAAGAACATGTAATCACCCGAGTAGATGAAGTACTCTCGGTTCCTCTCTGGAATGAACAGCGAAACTAAACTTCGCGTGAAGTAGATCAACTCCATCGTGTAGATGAACAGTGGGTGGTAGTAGAAGGGTCGAATGGCGCCCTTGCAGGGAAAGAGCACGATGCCATGAGAATAAAGGTGACTGCCTGCCAACGGAATGACCAGCTGTTTGGGCAGACGCTGATAGGGATTGACCTCACCGTACTTGACAATCAACGCAGTTTTGACCACTCCGTTCAACGAATCCATGGTCGCATGAATTAGCTAGATCTTGCTTTCAATCCGCAGTGTGCGTTTCACCAACAACCGTCTCTCCAAAATGGCCTGATCTTACAGCAAAAAAAACTCTGCACTGCCTACACATTTAGACAATTATTTATTATGAACTTTTATTTTTACAATCTCGGTAACCGATGTCACTAACACCACAAACAGGCTGATTTATGAACAGTCAAGTTCGTTTTTCTGTTCTTTTGTTCTGAGTCATCTACGCAATGAGATCTTTTTTCTGTAGTGTTTCAGACGGTTTCAGTTCTCACGAGAAAGTTCAATTATACGGAGAAAGTAAGCAATTAGCAAGCCGAATATCTGGTGGCGTAAGAAAGTTAGGTCAATTTTGCTTTTTGTTTGTCCTCTAATAATTACCTCATAAAATCTGAAATAATTAATTATAAACAGATTGCTAAAGTAGAAACCAATTCTTTTTTTGCTGAACGTCTCAATCAGTGAATGTATCTGTAATGAAAGCTGTTTTGTTAAAAAAGTTTAAAAATAAACTTAAAAGTACTTTAAGAGTGCTATCATTGTAGGTCAAGCTAATTTTGTACAAAATATTCGGTGTTCGGCCTGACTCGTGGCACACGACTGCAGCTGTTTGAAGTAGAAAGAAGATGGCTGAACTTGAAAGGGTAGTTGCGTAGAAGAGAGATATTTTAACCTTTTGAAATATATTTAAAAGTGTTACAGATTAAAACATTCACGCATTTGAAAATCACTCACAACAATGTTCATATCGACAAAAAGAGCAGTGTAGAAAACCGTATTATTGAATGTGGAAAGAAGTGTAATGGCAATGGCAAGATACTTGCTCCAGTAGGTGCCACTCCACTGGTCGACCATACAGCTGGTGCTGATAAGGTCACGCTCAACGAGTTTCATTTGCCATTTCTGCCAAATGGGGCTGAGTTTTTGTAGACGAGTGGCAGTGTCATTTGTCTGACGAATTCGATACTTGATGTAGTGACAGACAATGAAGAAGTACGTCAGATTCCAGAAGTAAGAGCTAAAGGTAAAGTAGGAAGAAATGGCAAAAACGGTACTCCACGGAATACCAAAGGCAAGCATCTCAAAAAAAGTAAAGTTCAGCACTGTTGGAAGGAAGGAGAGCAGAAAGGACACTACAAAAACTGCTTTTGTATTGAAATCAGTTATCTTCAGAGAGTACTTGGCCTGGCGAATGAAGTTGAGAATGTACTTGCGATTGTGAAGACCACAGGAAGCAGGGGTGCACTGGCCTCGGAGGAAGGCAATCGATTTGAGAAAGGCAGGCTCAACGCCCATTCTGTAGTTTAGGAGGTTCATGATGAGTATGCACATCCCCAGGCTCATGTACTGCGTGGCGGCGATGTTGATGTGAGTCTTTGCCCTGATGAAGTACATGTAATCTCCCAAGTAGACAAAGTACTGACGATCATTGTCGGGAACGTGCAGAGAAAATAGACTGCGAGACAAGTACAGAAATTCCATGAAGAAGATAAAAAAGGGGTTGTAGTAGAACTTTCGCTTGATCTTTGGGTCGCGAAAAAAGAAAAGACCATACATGTAGAAATGTGTGCCCGCACTGGGCACCTGTAGTCGAGGAGGCAGTATGGCATCGGGTTTGATGCCATTTTGAAGTATTTGGTTATACTCACGAAGTCGGCTCATTTGGCCTTTATAAGAACGGCGTCTGCTTTCCATTTCGTTGAAAGGCTGCACTGAACTGAGAATTTGTTTTAATATTTGACAATTAACTTTTTTTAAACAACATCCAAGATGATGACAAATGTAAAGTAAAATTAAAGTATCTTTTTGCAAATATAAAAGTGTAACACTCTTGCTCAATTTTTTTCTAGTAACAAACCTAATTTGATACATTTAGAAATCTAGAGCTGATAATAAATAAACTTTTTGTTCGCTTGATGACATTATTTTATAAATTTTCTCACGATATTCTGGTTTTTGCTAATACAAAAAGTAAATAGTTAATTTACTTTCTTATTTAACACATAAATCAACGTTTTAAGCATTATGATTGTATTCAGTCATTGTACGATCAATGATCGTATTATATTTTAGTTAACACAATTCAATGTAATTTTTACACAAATGAAATTCACAATAAATTGAATGTTTACTATGAATGTTAGAAAAATTGCCAATTGGTAAACAAAAACGATAATTATTTCTAAGTGCGTTGAAAAGTTTTTTATAAGAACAACAGTTTACTAAAAAGTAATCATCAAAAAGTACATGTTCCGATATTGTACTCGAAAATTTTGCATACAAAAAAGAATGTCCATATTTTCATATTTGCAAACTTTTGCCAAAAATGAGCTAATTAAATACGCGCTCTGATGCTATCTTGAGTGGAAATGCATCTATCCTCAGATGTGTTTGGTTGTTTGTGTGTGTGTGTTGCCATGCTTTGATAGTCAAAGTCAGTGATGCGCTCAACAGCGCGTGGCACCACACTTCTGGGCACAGATTCATAATTGTCAGTGAGTGCCATTCTGCATATTCGATGGAGTGTATGCAGCAATCTGCTAAAGTAGTGTATTCTGCAGAAGATGAGCCATCAGCAGCAGCAGCATCATCAGCTCCGTGGTCGAATCACAGTCGGCACAAGTGCACAACGTGGCTATAAATAGTGAAAGCACTGAGGCTGAAGAAAAGGCATCGCTAATGCGACGGTCACCAGAAGCAGCAGCAGCGGCAGCGGCAGCTGAAGGAGTAGCATGTGCCAAAACTGGCACCACCACCACTTTCAGCAGCACTGCGATTTGTCTGGCACTGGTAAGTAATTATTATGTCAGCCGCATCTTAGGCCACTGCCGCCTGCTACATCCGATGCAGCTCAGCAGCTCACTCGAGCACCACTCTCTGCCGCCTTCAACTGGTCGCATTCCAAGTGGCATGTGCACACGGTGCACACTTCGGCGTTCCATTTTCGCCTCCTCAGTGAGCAGCAGCATCCACCATTGAGCATCGACTCTCTGCTGCTGTTGCAGTTGCCGCTGCCACTGCTCCTTCAGCTTCTTGCTGTTGTCCGTCTCACATTTTGGTTGCCTGCAAGAGAGCGTATGTGTATGTGTGTATGTGCCATTGTTGTTGTTGTTCACCACAAGGAAACCTGCCAGCAGCCATAATAATATAATTAATTGCTGTTGCCACTAATCTGCCTCTTCACTGTAAACAGTTTACAGCGAAGACGGTGCTCGACCAAATGTTCTCGCTTTTCACCACTGCCAACTGACGTCTGATCATCATCACCAGCATCAGCATCAGCCAATTGGCTTGCCTGCACTGCTTTGCCGATCGATGCTGATGCCGAGTTGTGTTTGAGCGGGAGCTATGTGCTACTGATCTCCTCCTTCTCACACTCTCACTCTCACTCTCTAATCGACAGCCATTCATCGACACACGTCAAGCATCTGCTCAAGTGCATTCCTTTCCATTCATAGTTCCTAGTGTTCGCCAGCTATTTTCAAGCGCTTGCATAGCTCACTTCAATTGAACATTACCACTCAACACTTTGGACCTCACTTACGGTGCAGCTTTGTGAGCTGCTTAGCTAGTTGCCTTTAGGCCGTTCAAGCAGCCCACTCCACTCGCCGAACTCATCACCATTGAGTGGTCATGGGAAAGCTGAAGCACTTTGAGATTATATTCCATTCCGAAAATGACGTTTACTATCCGGGTGATGTGGTGCGCGGCAAGGTGCAGCTTGAGCTGAGGAATGAGCTCAAAATTCGCACCGTCAAGGTGTCCATGAGAGGAGTAGCTCGGGTGCACTGGACTGAAGCACAAAACTCCACCAGCAATCTGGCCATCTACACAGAACACATTAACTCTGAACTGGAGTACTTTTTTGAGAAGAAGACACTTTTCGATTCCGGTACGTGCAACAGTAGCTGCTGCAGCTGACAATTCTCTCCTTTCAGTTTGCCACTGACTCATTGACACTAAGCAGGCTTTCACACTTTTATTATTGTTTTTGTTTTTTTCCACTTTAGACAGCAGTGCCTGCCAGAGCGACGTTTTTGGCAAAGGCAGACACGACTTTGAGTTTTCCTTTCAATTGCCCACCAGCGGTCTGACGACGTCCTTTGAAGGCAAGTACGGCAACGTACGGTACTGGGTGAAGGCGGAAATTGAGAAACCATGGTCATTCGACTACCGCACCAAAAAGGCCTTCACCCTCATCAGTCCCATCGACATCAACCGACCCGAGTACCTGATTCCACTGGAGAAGAGCAAAGAGAAGACTTTCTGCTGCCTGTGGTGCACCCCGGGGCACATTTCAGTGTACGCAAAAACTGAACGGACCGGGTACTGTCCGGGCGAGTCGATCCTCATCAACGCCGAGTTTGAGAATCACACCCGACGGACGGTGGTGCCCCAGGCGACACTGCACCAGACGCAACTCTTCCTCGCAGCGGGCGGGAAGGTGCGCTCTCGCAGCGCCAAGTTCACCACCGTCACCGGCGTGGCCGTCCAGCCGCACAAGACCGCCATCTGGGACGGTCAGCTGCTAAAGATTCCGCCCATCTCGCCCTCCATACTGAACTGTCGACTGATTCGGGTGGAGTACACGATGCGCATCTCACTGAACATTCCACCCGTCGGCTACAAGTGCTTCGTCGACCTGCCCATCATCGTGGGCACTGTTCCCTTCCACCGCACCTCTTCTTCCTCACTATCATCCACCTCCATCTCATCTGGCGGCCACTCCGCCACCTCCCCACTGATTGCCTCCTCTACTAGCACACCACTTTCATTAGGTGCAGTCAGTCGTACTGGACAGCAACGACCTTACCTCAGTCAACAGCTTCGCTCACTGACGACGACAGCAGCAGTGGATGGCAGGTCACCGACAGCGGCGGGCGATGATCGAGCGAGATCAAATGCAACGCGTGAGTAGACTGATAGCGAATGTGAAAAAGAGCGGCTTACTAAACTGTTTTCTACGTTTTCTCAGCTCCACCGACATATGCCGAGTGCATAAATGGCTCAGTTGACATTGACGACGAGGACGAAGAAATCATCGGCAACACTCGCTTCACTCCAAGGTATACCTATGTAAATAATAGAAACTTTTGTCCACCACCAGCGTACTCTGAGGTTGGTTTTGTACACTGTTTCTTACTGTTCAGTTTTAACAACTGTTTTTCTTTTTTCAGGTTGATCCTTACCCTGAATCATCACGCTCAAATACGCAAACTTGAGTTTCTGTTGTTCATAACGGTGATTTTTTCATGTTAAATTTTTTATTTTTGTTACTCGTTCATCCTCATTTTGACCAAAAGCAATAATCAGCTTTTTCACCTCTATTATTCATCCACTTTGTACTTGTCCAGTGCTTTGTCTAGAGTTGTCGCGGCATTGTTCAGCTTGCTGTTCAGCGACAGGCGACCATGGCCTTCTGAGCTACCCATTTGATTGACCAAATTTTGATTGAACACCGCCTGAATGTTGACCAACTGCTTGACGATGAAGAAAAGAAGGGCTAGGAGTAGGAAAAGTAAAAAAGTAAATAAGGTTATAGAAAGATAATATGGTTGAAAAAAGGGGAAAAGGAATTTGACATACTGAGAGTTAGTGGAAAGGTGAGCACAGTGAGGATGAGAGCTGGCACTGCCGATACGACCAGTTGAGAATCTAGTGAACGGTGAAAAGCTTTCGTGACGTACACTGCTTGTGTCAATGGTAGTAGTGAACTTCTTCTGTCTGACAGTGTCACTTACCTGGGTGGTGGTACTCCTCGATGTGCGAAGTCACGTGGTGACCGCTTTCACTGCCCACCTCAGCAGTTTCGGCAGCCAAGGCGATGCGTTCGGCGAGCTTTTCCCCATGATGGACGCCCTCTTTGGCCCAGTACGAGGGAAAAAGGTGTCGAATGCTGAGGTCCTTTGGATGATCGAAGGTTTCCTGGCCGGTAAGGTAGTCGGCGGCTTCTTCACTCGGCCAGACGTGGCCGTAGACGAGCTGCCTGGCGAGGCACACATGCAAAAGAAGAGCACAGGAGAGCAGTGAACGTACCCAGAGAGCAGCAGATGAACGCTTCTTAGGCCACATTTTGAGAGTTGATGGGTAGAAGCAAATCACAAATGGCATTTCTAAATGACAATATTTGGACGTTCTTATATACGTGGACGCATCGCTGACTCGTGCAGCGAACCCAGCAATGAATTTTTATCGCTCTTCTGATCAAGACTTGTCGATGCTTGAAGTGCAAACAGCATTGTCTGGTTCATGGTAGGAATAAATATGAGCTTATCAGTGTGCTTGATCTTTGTAACGCATTCACTCATTGTGCGGTTAATGCATAAATACTTTTTATTGACAATAAGTGCAATTTACAGAGAATTAGACCAAAGAAATGATGGCCAAGGCAGTGGGGTGACCTCTGGAGAAAAGTGCCAGTGACTGTCGGTCAGTACCATTGTCCTTGTGTGTGTTTGTTTGCCCTTGTAACCTGAAAACCCAAAGAGGATGTCCAACCAAAACAGTGTCAACTGGTGGAGGATGATTTGAGAGCGTCGAATCGAAGTAGTGCACGTGAAAGTCGACGAGTTATCTGCTCAACTACCTCATCCGAACCATTCGGATAGTAGTCCACTTCAAACTTGGAAATGTGACGACGACGCCTTCGACCATTGTTGTTGGGCGCCTGTGTCGTCGTGTTGATGTTGTTTATCGTCTGCAATGAAAGTAAAGTAAAATACAAATCATTAGCAAAGACTCATTTTACTCTCCATTTAGAAGAAGATGGCACACATACATTCTGCATCATTGCCAGCAATTGGAGCACCTGAGTGAAGAAGGCTGTGGGCGAGAGTGTTTGGAGAAAATGAAAGCTTTTTGTTCACTGTTCAGTTGTTGAATGCTTACAAATTAGCAGTGGCAGGAGAATGAGCGATCCAAAGAGAATAGGCAGAAAGGAGAGCAGGAGAAGAGGCCAGAATTGGTCTTTACTAGACTTGCCGTGGTACTGCACTGGTTGCGGGGAGTGAATGTGGACTTGTCGATTGATACTTGTCGGTTAATCATGTTGAACGACGCAATCACAATGGATACACTTACTGGCTTTGTAGGAATTAGGGGATTCATGTGAGTATCCTGATTGGCCGTTGTACTCGTAGTTATCTAGTAAACAGAGAAAGATAATACGATGGAGAATTAGCTGATGGAGGGAACACTAAACAAGTGACAGGCATCACTCACAGTCAGACTTGTCGGCGATTAGATCCACTTGCGAGCGTTGACTTTCAGAAGTGGACAGCTGACGTGAAGTGGGTGGACTTTGCAGAAAGTAAAACAGTTTGGTGTTTGTGAGGACGCGTTTCTTATTGCGACGTGGGGGAACGATTCGAGCATGAGATGTGTCTTCACTGTCCCCCACATTGTCCCCCTCGTAGTCGGCCACATCACCATTGCCGCTGATGCCGTCGTCGCGTGCAACCTCCGACCCGTCAACAAGTGACAGGCCATTGATGAGGGTGACGCCGGTGCAGAGGAGGAAACAGGGCCCTAGGATGAGCAGCAGTCTGCCGGCAAAGAGGGTGAGCGGCTCGGCCTTCAGTGGTGATGCAGCCAGCAGCAGCATCATCCTCATATCGTTCGGCAGATGCTGCTGCACATGATGGTGACCAGAGCTCCTCGAAGGCTGGTGATGATGACTGCTCTGGTGGTGATCGCTGTCTGCCGCTGCTGCTGTTTTCGGTGCACTGTGCCCAGCGACCTGTGCTCTCCTGTCCTTTTATACCTGTGAACATCGTCTTTGTTCTCTCACTTTACCACTGAATGGACTCAGTGTTCTCGGGACAATGTAACCCTCGCCAACAACGGATAAATTACAAGCAGAATCGGTGTCGATTGGTCTGTGGTTTGTCAGTGAAGAGGAGAGGCAGTGTCTCGGTGACTTCCATTGTGGTTTACCTCTGAGGTGACTCTCTCTCTCTCCCAAGTAATGACTACCGTCTCCCATTTAAAGAGGTGCTGACAATGGACAGCATAGTTTTCATCGATTTCCCCACCACCACCAAAGGCGGCGCGGAAGTGAACACGAGCAATTCTGCCCGAGAATTGAATGCCTGCGAGGGTAGCAGTCACACAGTCAGTGCTCGTTAGTGAAGCGAAGCGGCAGTGAAGCGAGTGAGTGCCCAGCCAGTGCCGCCGCTTGCACACTGGTACGCACTAATTGTCTCCTCAGCGCTAATGGCCAGCAATCAGCGGTAGCAGCAGCAGCAACCGCAGACAGCACATCATCGGCATCATCATCAGCACCTCTTCACCTACGCCCGTGCAGGGCCTTCATGTTAGAAAATGTCTCCCTCTCTCTCTTATTCTCAATCTTTTTGTTGTGTTATTATTGGTGACGCCGCTCAAACGTTCAATCGGACAAATGGGTGTTTCAATTTGCTTGACATGAGGAACAAAAGGACTTGAATGTGCTTTTGTGACGACACAATAGCGATGTCTGCAAGTGAGTTACAATAAGAAATAGAAAAGCGTTGATATTGTTGTGGTCGTGGTGATAGAAGCAAATATAAATATGTGTGTGCAAACACTGTGAAAATGTGTGTATGTGTATACGGGTAAAAGGGTCTTCTTCTGCTTGTAAGTCTGGGGATGTCAAGAAAGAGTGTAGTCAGGTTGCACAGACGGGGCTTGTCGATCGCTAGTAACGCACCACTCACTTCACGCGCTCATCATCAGTTGTTGAACGACTGACGAGTCGGGCACTGGGCAGCTATGTGGCCTGTGTTGGCGGGAAAAAGGGAGAGAAGAGATTTATGAGTACACTTGAGTATTGTAGGCTGCAGGGGACAGAGGGCTTGTGTGCTTACCTGGCTCGTTGCAGTTGAAGCAGTTGCGCACACGCTCCTTTCGGGGCTCAGTGCAGTCACGAGATATATGCCCTGTGATTGAATTAGAGTAATGGTATTTGTGTTAGAAAAATCACGCAAATCTGGTTAGCCAAAAATAGAAAGCCAACGTACCTTCACCGTTGCAGTTGTAGCAGCTCTTGGCTCCCGGAGGGTTGGGGCACTCGCGGCTGATGTGGCCCTCTTGCTGGCAGTTGTAGCAGCGCTGTCCGCGTGAGCCGCGGAAACCGCCATTTCCGCCAAATCCACCACCACCTCCATTGCCGCCACCTCGGCCTCGGTGGCAATCGTAGCTCAGGTGACCAGTCTGGCCGCAGTTGTAGCAACGGCTGTTGTTGTTGCGGAAGCCAGAGCCAAAGGAGCGGCCACCAGTGGTGGGCTTGCTGCCCTCAGCATTCTCTGACAAATCGCCAGTGGGAGTAGTTTGTTCGAAATCAGTCATGATTCTGCACAAAAAGGGAACAAATTGGGTACAAATTAGACACAAGTGAACGGTGTTATGGGGCGAGCGGAAGTAGGTTCAAAAGACACTCGGCGGCAGTTGTGTTAACTTGCACGCTAAACTGCGTCACAACCAGCAGATTGCTGAAGAGTGCAATTGCGGGTGCACCAGTGCAAGCAGTGGCACGCTGGTGTGCGTGTGTGTGTGTTTGGTGCCGAGACCAGCTTTAGCGATGATGATCACGGCGAGTCACGGGGAACCGTAGTCGCAGCACACCACCCGAGCCCGTCACTCCGACTTGGTGAATTTCCAAATGGGCGAAAAGCACTTACCAGGAGAGAGAGGGAGAGAGTGGTGTGGAGAAGAGGGACCGAGCGAGCTCCGAGACGAAGTGCAAATGAGGAGACTGTGGCCGATGTGATCGGAAGGGAAAGGGATTGAGAGGCAATTACCACGTGGTAAGGCAAGCTCAGGCGAAATGGTAACTCAATTCTGCGGGGATAATAGAGTGCAGCCGCTTGACACTCAGCCAGTTCTCCGCCTGCCGGTTCCACCGCTTTGCACTCTGACAGTTGCTACCGACGACCAGTTTGGGCAGTGATCGCTGTGCAAACCAACCAACCAGCCAGTGCCAATGCCACCAGTAAGGATGTGCGCCTACACCAGAGTCTGCTGAACTCACCTGGAAGGTGTGCACACATTTTGGGAGAAATTTTATTGCATTTTACTTTACAAAGAAGTGAACTTCCAGGAGATGAGTTGCACAGTGCGGCCAAAGTGTGCAGACAGTGCGACTGCAGCGCAGCTGCTGCGACTGCTGCGATTGCTGCACTGCGACGCGACAGCTTCGCACTTGATTTTGCTGCTGATTATTTTTTTGAGTCCCCTGTAAAGAAAACAACTTCCAAATGTCAACTGCCTTGGGTCTGGTTGTGGGCCTGTTCCTACTCCTCCTGACGCCCTTCACCTTGGGGTGTCAGGACGAGCAAGGTCGATCGGTGGACTACTTTCTCCTGTACAAAGTGCCAAAATTAGAGAACTCGCCAAATACCAACATTCGCAGTGGACTGGGCTACGCATTTGTTACCGCCAACAGTGCTGACAAATGGCAGCTCTCAAATCGCTCCATCGGCGATCCAAAGTCCATGCTGGGGACGACCTTGAAGACACTCTTTGGAAACGGAAAGAACAACGTTCTACTGTACAACGACCAGCCGCCACAAAGCTGTGAGTTAGAGGGACTTGTTGATTCGCCGATGACTGCTGATCACGACTGATCCTCTATTTGAATGATCTTCTTTACAGACAGTGCTTCTTCGCGTGCAGCTTCTTCTGCACATGCCAAAGGAATCTTTTTCTTGAACAGTAAATCTGGTTTCTATCTGTCCCATTCGGTACCGCGGTTTTTGGATCTAAAACAGAAGAGCTTTCAATACCCAGATTCGGGAAAGGAAAATGGCCAAGTGCTGATTTGCATTGCATTAACAGCTAAAGACACTTCAAGCATTTTAAACATTGGCCAACACTTGCTTCTTTTGAAAACAAATGTGTACTCGTACAACTTAACAGATGCATTCACCAAGAAATATCCCGCTTTTAAGGACTTGATCGGTAAGAAATGGTCAAAAAATCAGACGCAAATCAGCGAAATATTCTCAAGTAAAAGGTGACATAGGAAGATGGCTTTCAAATGCGATTAGTAATAACTGTTAACTTTGTAGGGTCAAGTTTACCTTGTTCTCCAAAAGCAACAAGTTTCAGAAGGACATTTACTCTCAGATGATTGCGCCCTATGTGAAAGAAGATCTTCTGGTGCAAACTTGGAGAAATGGTGCCGGAGAGAAGTTGGACTCTGACTGCAAAGACCAGTATCGAATCATGAACATTGACCAGATTAAACTGTAAATATACTCTAGTACTGCGTATTTTGCCTACATTTGATTTAACGTTTTACCTTTTTTCTAGTCAATCAAACATCGACTGGAAGTACACGTAAGAAATTGGATAAACTGTTTGCAACCTGAGATAACGTTTCTATTTTGCCTTCCAGCGAAGACCACGCAAAGTGGGCAGTGTCGGTGCAGACAAAGGGGAAGCCAGCACTTACCTGCGTCAGTGATCTCAATCGAATGAGGTCGCAGTTCAGCCGTGGGGGTGGCTCCATTTGCCTTCAGCTTCCCGCTTTTTGGTCCATCTTTAGCGCCAGTGTTGAGAACATTGAAGCTTGTCCACGAGCCAGCAGCCAACAAGTTGTTCCCCCAAGAAGCAACCAAACTTCTACTAGTAATAAGCACTGACTGAAATTATCTACTCATAATCTTTGATACGAATTTGTAATTACCTCAATTGTACAAGTAAAAAATAAGTCTTGGTGATCACTAGAAAATGGTTAATTTTCAAATTCTGCTACTTTGTGAAATAATCTGCGCCATTCATAGACTGCGTGATGACTGGCTGCAGCCGTTTTGTTTTGCCTCATCAACAGTGTCTTTGATTCCCGTTGCCGCCAATCTGCTGATGCTCTTTTTTACCAGATAACCTCCTTCTCGGGCTATTGCCAGGATGTTCATCACCAAAATCATTCTCGATGGCTTCAAGTCATATGGCAGAAAGGTGGAGCTTACTGGATTTGATGAGTCGTTCAATGCCATCACCGGCTTCAACGGCAGTGGCAAGTCAAACATCCTAGACGCTATTGTTTTCGTTCTTGGACTCAGCAAACTGGAGATGGCTCGCTGCCATACACTTACTGACCTCATCTACAAAAACGGACAAACAGGCGTCACTTCCGCCTCGGTCACCATTGAAATCGACAACTCCGACGACAAGTTCAAGCACACTGAATATCGAGGTTCAAAGAAGATTGTCGTCAGACGCGAAGTAAGTTTTTATTGCTTTGTTATTGCTTTTTGTTTGTAAAAGTTACTATCGTTGTTTTAGGTTAATTTGAAAAACCAATCTAAATATTTCATAGATGGGTTTTCTGTCACTAAGGAAAAGATCCTCGACTTTTTTCAGGCTGTGTCTCTCAACATCCACAATCCACATTTTTTGATTATGCAAGGAAAAATTGTCAAAACTTCTGCTGCAAAACCAACAGAGGTAAAAGTAACGCTGTATGTAGAATTTTTGCTTATATTTCTTTTTAGATTTTAAGCATGGTTGAAGAAGCCGTCGGCGTGAGCACATACGAAACAAAGAAAAAGCATAATTTGGCAAAAATCGCCAAATGTGATAAGATTTTGGAGGAGAACGATAAACTACTCAGTGAAAGTATTCGTCCGAAAATGAAACAGCTGGAAGAGGAACAGCAAAAGCTTGTCAAGTTTCGTGATATTCAAGCGAAATTCGACAGGGATAACAAAATTTTCACCGCATATTGCTATATGAACGACAAACATCTCGTGGATAATGCCGATAGAAATATTGCTAAATTGGAAGAGCAGATAAATGAAAAAGAAGCGTCCAACACCGAACTTGATGAGGAACAAAGGAAGCTTATCGATGAGATAAAAGCTCTTCAAAGGCAGTTAAACGCAGAGCAAGGGGGCGATTTGAAAAAGTTTGAAGAGGAACTCGTTGAAAAACGTGCCGCTAAAGATCGTATTGCTACGGATCGAAAACTTCAAATCGATGAACTGAAAAAAGAACAAGATCAAGAAAGTAAGCTACAAAAGAACTTTGATAAGGAAAATAAAGCCGCTGAGAAAAGGAAACAGGACTATAAAAATGCCGAGGATCGTTTGAAAAACCTTCGTGATGAGAACGCCGCAAACGAGGCGAGTCTGCAAAAAGCGCACAGCAACTATGAAGTCGCCCTCGGATTGGGCGGCGGTGAGGACTCTGCAACTTTAGGTGAACAGCTGAGAACTGCACAGAACGAACTCAGTGAAGTTGTAAAAAAGGAAAATTTGAACAAGAAGAACATTGAAAGCAAAGGCAAGGCGGTCGCTCAGAAGAGGCATCAAATTGAATCAGAGAAAGCCGCCTATGAAAAGGCAAAAAGAAATATTGAGGAGCACACTCACGAAGCTGAAAAGCTCAAGGAGAAAGTGGATGCAATTAATTTCGACCGAGATCGTTTCACAGAATTGAGCGAACGAGTTGCCGAAACTAAAGCTAAGATAAAAGAGGAAGAGCGAAATCTACAGAACTTGTACATTCCAGCCCTCGACTTCAAATACCATTTCAACAGGAACTCATTACCTAGTGGTTTTGAAAAGGAAAACGTTTACGGACCTGCTTGCAAACTTTTCACTGTCAGAAACATTGAAGAACACTCTCTGGCTGTTGATAAGGTTTGTGGCGGAAAGCTGTACAACATTGTCGTGGCAAATGATCGTACGGCAAAGACGCTCCTCAAAGACGGTAACATCAGAGAGCGGCGAACATTTTTGCCCCTGAACACGATTCGAGGCCGTGATACTGATAGGCATGCATTTCGAGTTGCTGAGCGCCTCGTTGGAAAAGGCAACGTTCACAATGCAATCAACCTGGTCAACTACGAACAGCGTTTTGAAATGGTCATGAAGAACATCTTTGGCGACACGCTCGTTTGCCCGAACATTGACATGGCCGATAAGGTTGGCTTTAACAGTGAAGTCAGAAAGCGAACCGTCACCTTTGATGGCGAAATTGTGGATCCAGCTGGCACAATGACGACAGGCAGCGCCAACCGAGACAGATCGATCACAGCCATTGTCCATCAAATTGTGATGATCGAAGCAGAAGTTGAAAGACTTAAAATTCGACTTCAGCAGGACCAGCAGGAGTTGGCTGAACTGAACAATCTTAACGCACAGTACACTGCTGAATTCAAAAAGTACGATCTCAAACGACGTTTTATCGCCACGTTGGAAACTGCTCTCTCTGAAAGTAATCACCAGGTGATTTTGCAAGAGATTGAAACAATGGAAAATGAGATCAATAAAGCAAAGGAAGAAAATGAAAATCTTGCTAAAGAACGTGCTGAGCTGGAGAATGACATTCAAAGATTAAAGAACACCATTGAGAATGCCGGCTCAAATCGTGATAAGGCAAAGAAGGATGCCGAGAAAAACATTCAAACTGCTAGGAAAACGCGTGATGCTTCAAAGGTGCAGCTGGAAAAGGAGGAGAAGAACTTTGAAGTACTGAGCCGAGAGATTGAGCATAATGAGGAAAGTCTGGCCAGTTTGACAGAGAAGTTGGACACGATTAAGGGCAACATTGCAGCCATTAATGAGCGAATTGAACAGTTTAATGCGCAGATAGACGAAGCACAGAAGGCAATTGAAGTAGTTGAGGCTCAGTTCAAAGTTTGCCAAGACAGACTGAATGCCCAGTCAGGGGAAATAAAGAAGCGCCAAAAAAAAGTGGATTCGCTGAAAAAGACCATCGAAGACAACGAGGCAAAAGTGAAATCGTTGAAGCACGAAATAGATGTAGTCAACATCGGCATCAAAACAGCAGCAACGAACTTGAAAAACTACGAAAAAAGCTTCCCGTGGATTGCTGAAGAAAAGGATTCTTTCGATAATCCTGACTCGGAGTACCATATTTTGCGCAACAACTTCAATGCCAAGGAGTTCAAAGTCAAGTTGGATCAACTAAAGAGAGAAAAGGATGCGATGTCTAAAAAAGTCAACCTAAAGGCCAACATTATGCAGAGTGAAAAGCAAAAAGAGTGCGAGGAACTTGAAAGGAAGCGAGGTATTATTATCTCTGACCGCCAAAAGCTCAAGAAGTACATTGAAAAGGTGGAGAAGGAGAAAGATATTGAACTGCGGAAAGCATATGAGAAAATCAACGAATCTTTCGGCGCCATTTTTCACACCTTTCTCAACTACGCAAACTGCAAGCTGTCTCCAGTGAATCGAAATAACATTAAGGAAGGCCTTGAAATCAAGGTCTGCTTTGGTAACGTCTGGAAAGAATCTCTCTCCGAGCTCAGTGGTGGCCAGCGGTCATTGGTGGCCCTCTCTTTGGTGCTCTCCCTGCTCAGGTACAATCCTGCTCCACTGTACATTCTCGACGAAGTTGACGCCGCTCTCGATCAGAGTCACACGCAGAACATTGGCATCATGATCCGAAAGCACTTCTCCACCTCACAGGTAAGCTCTCTGGTAACCTTCTAAAAGCGTAGCCTGGTTCTAATTAGTTATCCTTTTTCACTGTAGTTCATCATTGTCTCTCTAAAGGACGACATGTTCAACAACGCCAACGTCCTCTACCAAACTAAATTCATTGACGGTTTCTCAACTGTGACACGTCGTTCTTTATTGTAGACTGTCNTTCTGGTAACCTTCTAAAAGCGTAGCCTGGTTCTAATTAGTTATCCTTTCTCATCCCTCTTTCACTGTAGTTCATCATTGTCTCTCTAAAGGACGACATGTTCAACAACGCCAACGTCCTCTACCAAACTAAATTCATTGACGGTTTCTCAACTGTGACACGTCGTTCTTTATTGTAGACTGTCAAGCGCAACAATCATCGTGAATTATTTGTCGACAAAATATCCCCCATCGCTTTTATTTTCTATCATTAAACTATTTTAGATAAGATAAAATTAAGAAAACTCATAAAACAATTCGAAGTTTTTTCCTCTATTGCTTTGCTTGAGTAGTCGTTGTTGTGTCCCACGCATTGCCAGACAAATGTGATACGTTTCTTAGTAAACTCTCTTCTGTAACTTGCTTTTTCTGCAGTAAATTCTGTGCAGTAGTACTACCTACATTCTTGCAAGAATGTCCAAAGGACAGACGCACCTGCTGTACAGTTGCCACGATAAGACGAACCTTCCAGTGGGTCTCGTCCTGGGGGACATCTTCATCTCCCAAGGCGCCGTGTGCTTCAACCCCATTGCCAGTTCAGTGCAGCTGCGTGCACTGCGCGAGGAGGACAAGGCCCATCCGCATCTGTTGGAGCTGGAGAACAGCCGCGAGGATGGCAAGCCAAAGGCCTACTTCACCCTGAAGGTGAACGGCCGCACTGACATCGGCACGCTGATGGGCTTCTCCGGGAAGGCCTGCTACCACTTCACCATGAAGACCTGGCTGATCATCTTCGTCAGTGCGCGCATCTTCGCCAACGGCAACGAGCTGCAGCTGGCCGATGGGTCGCACAACTTCTTCGTGCAGGGTGATGTCCGCCTGGTGGTCGACAGCTCCGTCTGTCACCTGTACCTGCTGCGCGGCAACCTCTACGACAATGGCGTCCTTCGAGCGCAGAACAAGGAGCACGCCTTTCCGTTGGTATGGCACTTTCTTTTTTAGATTGGACTACCGTACTGAGCTTTTTTCCTTCAACAGAACACAGTGGGCAAGGTGATTGAGTGCTCGTGGAACAGCTTTCCCGAGAAGGACCAGGCCCCGGTGATGGCCAAGCTGCCGGGCGTCGTCGTCGCTCCGATCAGCACTTCCGCTGCTTCCCCGGCCTCTCAGAACTGTGAGAACCTGTTGTACCTGGGCATGGCCAAGAGGAAGGACAAAATGGAGGCCATTGTGCTCGTTTCTGGGCTGATCACCCGCGCACCCTTTGAGCCGTTCCGCTTCGGCAAGAGCAAGTTCGAGCTGGAGCTGACCTACGAGAGCACCGTCGTGGGCGGCGTCCGCGAGAAGGTGGAGAGCAGCCACCTGCTGGTGACCATTCGCCCTCAGGGAGAGGCGGTCACTTCGCTGTACTCCGCCTCGGGGCACGGCTTCTCGGTGTGCAAGGGCGCCACACTGAAGATCATCGGTCAGCTGATCATCGCCAGCAACAAGGATGGCAGTCTGGTCAGCAGCTTCCCCGCCTCGCCGCACCTGGTTGAGCACGTGGCGGGAAATCTGAAGATCTACCTCTGCGATGACAGCATCGTCCTGCTGGACAACAAAAGCAACTCATTTCAGATTGATGGAAAGGTGTTCTGATCGAGAGCACTCGACCGTGCATCTCCTCCACTTTCGCTGATCTTTATCATCAGCAATTACTGCCGCAGTCAATTATACTGCTTAATTAGCATTTGCACCAAGGGCGCAACAGTAGTGCGCGCTTAAAAAATCATTAGACAATTGTACCATTATACTGTGCACCGATCTAGTAAACAGTCCTGCAGCATCGGTTGCCATCACTGCAGTGTGAGTGTGTGTGTTGTACCACTGTTTGCAATATACACCGGTGGCCAATATACTACTCGCCTACTCAACAACTGGAGGGAGATGCAGCCGATGGCTGGCCGGCTGACTGTCTCTCTCCTCTTTTTCTTGTTTTTCCTCTAAACTCTCTGCTGCTCATCGCCCGACTTTTGCTCGTCGTTGCGTCAGCATTCTGCAATTACCCAACGCTGGCACACTGGCACACAGACAACAATGACACACTCTGATGACGCCTCAATTGTAGTGCTGATTTAGCCAGTCAGCAAAGGAGGAGAAGGAAGTGGGGAGAACGAGAGGTAGCTGAAACATTAGCTTTCACTAGCGAGAAGTGTCGCTTCTGATTCTGTGGCGATCATCTGTGTTTACTGCCAACATCTGTTTCTTTCTCTCTACTGAAAACACACTTGATTAGTGTCTGGTCAAGGCAAGACGTCTCAATCTCTTCTCAGGTAAATCCCCCCAAATTCTTGCTCTTTTCGAATTCCCGCTAGATTTCCCTCTAAAACACACATTGCCACTCAACTGATGAATCAGCGCTAGTGAAGTGAAGAAGCCAGTGACAATTAGCAGCAGCTTATGATCTGTCTGTTCAAGTGTTTTTGAAAGTGCGCTTTAGTGCATTTGCTAGCTTTCACGCGGATTGTGCAGTTCGCTCGTCATTGAATTGCACTCTCCTCGTCCTCTTGTACGGCTGTTCACTAGTACGCTAAACACTAGACACACTACTCTATCAGTGAGACTTATCGGCAGATTAGCAGAAGCACTACCCATATTTCGCAGCTGACTTTTGTCTTCACTGGCGCCTAAAATGATGAACCATGGGTGACACATTTCCCGGTTCAAGCCATCTTCTGTCCACAATCCTCTACCTCTCATTTGATTCTCACGCCTTGTCACTACCACCATCACCTCGTCACCACCGTCACCACCGTCACCACCGTCACCTGCAGTAGACGGACAGTAGTAGTGATCTCCTCCCCGATAACATACTCAACTACTGTCTCGTCGGAAAAACTGCCGGTTTTTCCTCATACTAGTCATGTTCTTCAGCTCAAAGCTTTCTCTCTCCCACCTCTCTAGGGCGGTTGCAACTCTTTCACGGGGCAATTTAACCGCAGCGGTCGTTCTGTCGCCAGTCTCCTCCAGCAAGCCAACCGCCAGTCTGATTATGTGCGCCAAGCGAAGTCTCTCCACGGAGCTAGTCAAATCGGCCCGAGTGGCCACCGGCGTGGGCATCTACCAGCAGCTTCAGCAACTCAGACCGGAGGTGTACCAGTTCGCACCGCCCGAAGGACTGGAGCTGACCGTCGACTACGCCGACACTGCCTCAGAGGGGCAGGAGTTTGAGAAGGTCATCGTGGCGGTGCACGGCTGTCCCGGCTACTACACCAACTTTGACCGACTGATTGAGCACTTCCGCCACAGCAAAGTCAGAGTCATAGCGCCAAACTTGCCCGACTTTTCGCACACTCGAAGCACGCAGACCTTCTGGCACTCCACCGCTGAGAAAGCGCTCTTCCTCAAGGACTTTCTGCGTCAGCTTGGCGTGACCACCATTGACTGTCTCGTTTCGCACTCCTTTGGCATCCAAACGATAGCCGCCTTGTGGGAGGACGTAAGTCACAGCCTGACTGTTCGCATCATAGTTCTAACACAATTCCCTCTTTTTAATCCGACTTTAGCCGGGTAACATCCAAATAAACTCCGTCTGTCTGTTTGCCCCACAGCCACTGTGGCTGTCTCACAAGCAAGAAGTGGAGATGCAAAAGGCGAAGCGAATGTTTTACTTCCGCTCCGAACTGTGGTACAACTTTCTCGGGATGACTCGCATTCACAAGCTGCCGTCGATGCCGATGCGCTTCGACAATGTCAATGAGTTTCTGCTGATCTGCACCACTGTTCTCGACGACCAGTCACCCATTGATCTTCACCGTCGTATTGAACTTCTAGTCAAATCAAACATTCCAGTAACGCTGATGTACGGCTCAGAGGAGACCCTAGTCACCAAGGGCTCCATAGCCAAGTTGAATGAAGAGCTGGGCGTGAAGCCTGAAGAGATCATCCGCCTCGATGGTGAGAAGCACACCGCTGATGATCTGCCCGCTGGGAAACGCATCACCTCTTATGTGATTCAGAAGGGCGGTCACTTTGCGCACGCCAACTTCTATCAGTTTTCAAATCGAATGGTGGAAAATTTACTTGCTTACAAAACGCTTCCACAATAGGTTATCCCGTTTTTCATTGATCCCCTAAAGCACATTACGCCATTTCAAAGTTCACTCACCATTCGCATTCCTTGTTATGTTTACCACCGCATTCTGTTAATGTTAACTCTCTTCTTGTTGTTGTTTTTGTTTTGGCAGCTCCGATTAAAAAGCTGTTTGATGCGATCATATTTGTGTTTTGTTTGCAATTTGAATTTGAAAACCCAAAAATGAACTGTGTAAATTGGTCACTTTGCGAAAATTCAAAAGCGCCACCTGTAAGGATATTTTAGCCCAAAAAAGCGAATAACCAGTAGAGGCAGCACTTTCGCCGGTAGTGGTGCTGAGAAAAAAGTCACATGCTTGCAGTGAAGAGAGGGAAATCATGCCACTTTCATTTTGGCATCAGACCAGAGCTCTCTCCCAGTATTCACTTGCTTGTATTCGCAGCACAACTTTACTTTGATTTACGCTAGCATCCCTTTGCAGGCCTGACTGCCAACAACGGTGGCAGTGATTTCCATCTGATGCTGTTAACAAGGTAATATTATTGTTTGTTGTCATATTTACTACCCATTAATATTCCCCTATCAACGCCGTACTTTAGCTTTGAAACACCATAGCTAATTTACGTTTCCTATAAATAGGGGTAAATGATTTTGTAACATTACAAAAACATAGACTTTCATCGGTCCTAATTGAATGTTTATACCTGTGTTCTGATACATTTCCTTCTTTTCAGAGCTGGATTTTGCACCGTTCAAGTTAAAGTGTATTAACTGACTGGTCGCGACCACCGGAGTTTGCTGATTTTCCGCTCACAAATCGACTCATCATCAATTGAACTTTCATCACAAGTTTGATCAAATCGCCAAAACTGTACTTTGAATATGCACTCAATTAAAACAACATTGCCTCTCTTGATCATCTCTGACTGACTGCATCAGCCGTCTGCACTTGCGAGTGTTGCGCTAAAGCGCGCCATTAACCGGGCAAGTGCAGGCAGCAGGGAAAGCTGTCTAACCTCTGAGCTGCAGCTGGAGGGTATACGTGATCTGATCAGACAGCCGAACATGGCCAGAACAAAGCGAGTAGTGACCTGTTCTGCTCTGCGGAGAAGTCGAAGTGTCTTGGCAGCTAGTTCTTTGTGTGCTTGTGTGTGTGCCCGCGTCTCTGTCATCGTCACATGTGTGGTGGCCAGTCCAGTAAAGACTTCGTTAGGGTGAAGGACTCCTGTGGACGGCAATGCGAACAGCTGCTGCGCTTGCTGCAGTGTGCTCTTTGTCTGCGTCTCCGTCGGTGCCCCAAGTCAGTAAGCGCTGTGTGCTTTGGAGTAGTAGGGCACAAAGTGGTGTGAGCTGTTTCCCGAAGTGGCCATGAAGTTGGTCGTCCTTTATACCCTGCTGTGTTCCTTACTCCCATTGGCCCTCCTTCACGCCCTGACGCCTTTCGAGTGGCTTCACCATGTGACACTGGACTCGGAGAATCACTACACGGTGCGGTGGCTCTTCAGTCTTCCCCAGCAGAGTATCACTTTTGATGTGTGCGTCCGCACCAGAGGATGGATTGGTTTTGGCTTTTCACCCAATGGCGGCATGACGGGCAGTGATCTGGTCATCGCCTGGGTTGACGACCATGGCCGTGCCCACTTGCAGGTAGAGGCGAACTGCTGCTTTTGCATTTAATGCAACTTTTAATCAAATATTCCACTTTCCTTAGGACCGCTACGCTGAAGATGAAGAGATGCCCACCACTGATTCGAAGCAAGACTGGCTGCTGCTCTCTGGCCAGGAAAACGAGACACACACTTGTGTCATCTTTACCAGACCATTTCTGACATGTGATTACGAAACTGACCTGCCAATTACAAACGACGTGACGAAGCTCATTTGGGCATACGACTTTGAGGACCCAGTGGGCTCGAGTGCCATTATTTCCAAGCACAACATTCACCGGCGTGGCCACAAGAGCGTCCACTTGTTGAGTCACAAGTTCGAGGACAGCACTTTGAAGGGTGAGGTGGTGCAAACTTGGGACATCACTAGTAGCGATCTCGTTTTGCCAAATAATACCGACACCACTTACTGGTGCAAAATTGTCATTGCACCCTTCGTCAAGAAGGCACATGTCATTCGAATTGAGCCAGTCATATCACCGCCACAAAACGCACCATTCGTTCACCATATGGTCTTGTATCGGTGCCTCCACCCGGAACCTGATCAGATGAAGCAGTACAAGGACCACCCGGGCACCAACTGCTTCGACTTTGCCAACATGCCCTTTGACTTTATTCACTGTCAGTCGATTTACATGGTCTGGGCTACGGGTGGCGATGCGCTGAACTTGCCTGACAATGTGGGCATTCCAATCGCCGAAGATCATGAGACCTCGTACTTTCTATTTGAAATTCACTACGACAATCCCGAGCTGCTCAGCATCCGAGACTCGTCGGGCTTTCGCCTCTTCTACACCAGTAATTTGCGTCAGTACGATGCCGACACTGCGACCATGGGCTCAGTCGTCGACTACCGGCTGATCATTCCTAATGGATTTGAAAACTTTACCGTCTCTGGCCACTGCTCACCGGAATGTTTTGCCGAGAAGATGCATAAATCAGGAATGAACGTTCTGGCAGCACTGCCTCACGGACACAAGCACTGTAAGTCGTACACACCTTTCCGATCATTATCATTTCAGTTTTGCTTACTTACACTTTGTAATTTCTAGTGGAGAAGATATTAGTCCGCCACTTTCGCGGCCAAACCGAACTGCCCTATCTAGCGGAGGAGAACAACTACGACTTTAACTTTCAGGACTTTCAGCGGTTTGATGAGAAGCGCGTCATTCTGCCGGGCGACCAGATCACCGTGGAATGCACTTACAACACCGAGTCCCTGGAGCGACCCATGTTCGGCGGTCTCTCCACCAAGGAGGAGATGTGCATGGTCTTTCTGGTGTACTACCCGCGCATGAAGGGCGTCCGCACCTGTCTGAGCGGTCTCACTCCACAAACGGTCATGAAGCTGTCCAGTGTGGCACAGGTGGAGAGCATCGACGAGAACGACATGAATCCGATGGTGGTGCTACCGCGAGAGCACGCCAACGAGCGGCTGTCCTCCTACGTACTGGAAAGCGACTGGACCTTCGCCAATCTGACTGAGCACGAGCTCACCTACCTCATTCGCTACGCACCGCAGAAGTCGCAGTGCTTCTGGCGCCAGATCGAGGGCATCGAAGGAATGGAGGAGATTACCGAGTTGATCACCTACCCGCACATCGACCGACCTTACACTAAGCCTAAGCGGAAGTGCGTGTCCAGCACCCTGCCATATACACAGAGCTCTACCTTTTCTTCTTATTCAGCTGCTGGCGCCTTTTCACAGGTGCTACCAGTTCTACTTCTCTTGACCTGTTTTAACTCTTGTACACTGTAGGCGCACATGATCATCATATCACTTTTTCCCGTTTCTTTAGTCTGATTTAAATCATCATCAGTATTATAAAGTTCTCATCTTCTACTGTGATTAATAGCGGTAGTAATGGCGGCTACTTGCAGGCACTGGAAACTGAGAGTGCCTGCCAAAGCCGTCAGTGGCTGCCCTGAAAAGTGCTGCAACCCAATCTGCGAGGTGTGGTGCAGAGCACTTGAAGGCAACTCGAGTTATTCTTAGCAGTTTCTCTCCACTCGATGCATCGTTCTTTCTCACATCACTCGGTGGCACTTAATGAAACCCGTGCTGTTGATGCCTCTCTTTTCTCATCTCCTCACTCATCTTTTGGTCGCTCTCTCGTTGAGTCAGTCGNCTGAAAAGTGCTGCAACCCAATCTGCGAGGTGTGGTGCAGAGCACTTGAAGGCAACTCGAGTTATTCTTAGCAGATTCTCTCCACTCGATGCATCGGTCTTTCTCACATCACTCGGTGGCACTTAATGAAACCCGTGTTGTTGATGCCTCTCACTGCTCATCTCCTCACTCATCTTTTGGTCGCTCTCTCGTTGAGTCAGTCGTTGCGGTGTTTCCTGGTGGCGGCGTTGGAAGTGATGGTGACTGGAAGGATGATGGTGATGCCCGTCTCCCATGGGAGTCTATGATTTGTGTTCTNGTGCGGTGTTTCCTGGTAACGGTGTTGGAAGTGATGGTGACTGGAAGGATGATGGTGATGCCCGTCTCTCATGGGAGTCCATGATTTGTGTTCTGCAATGATCTCCATAAACAATTACAATATTGCAACTATCGATCTCGCAATCTTTTGTCACGCTTAAACCGTCTCTTGAAATGTCTTCCTCATCTTCGACGTCTGCGAACACTGCAGCCAGCTCTTCGGTGAGCAGGTCGAAGACCAAAACAGCAAAGTCACAACAAGTATGTTCGGGTGAAGGTGCCGGCTCAAACTCGAATGTTGTTTGCCCACAGATGAAATACCAGAAACCGACTTTGCAGCTGTATCGGCCACCATCGGCTCGTGTAGAGAGTGCCTTCATTGATTCTCCCGACTCTAATCACTCCTCAAATGCCTCCATTCAGTCCTGCTACTCCAACGACTCTAGGTATCAGCCTAATTACTCACAAAGCTTTGGAAATGTGCCCACCTCAAGTACGTAGTGTTTACTGACATTGTAACTTTGACCAAATGCTCATCACAACTTTTTTCTTTTAAGCAGATGCATTTCCGATAAAAGGAGTCCTGAAAAGATCTAAATCATTCGGCAACAATAACAATAGCAACAATCGCAAAAGTGGAGAATTCAGCTCTCCCTCGTCGCTTCTCGGCGAGGGAGAGACGGGTCGTTTTTTGCTCTCCCTCGAAGGACTGTCCTGGGAAACCTTGACCCTCATCAAGCAAGCCCTGGACAGGGAGACGTGCGCCTTACTTGATCCGTGCAGTCTCCTGAAGATTGTCCGCATCCTTTGCAATAAGGTAATGGAGAAGCCGACCAATGCAAAGATGATTTCCATCATAGTCATGGAAATACACCAGAAGCAGCAGCTGAAGATGAGCTCATTCAGCGACCACAAGTACCTATTTTTAGAGTCCTTGGCCAGCTGCCTGCGAGAGTGGTTTAATGAACGCGACAAGCTTCGTTTCACCACTGGTGGGGCACGTCGCTGGACGGGCTACATTCTCTTTCTTGTGGAGATGTACCTCAACTTGAAGTCAATCGACCTCACTGGAAGTGCCCTCAGACAAAAGACCGCTTTCACCAACTACAGATCAGGCGGCGGCGGTGGCGGAAATGATGAGGAGTCAAGTGACGACTCTGACTACAACTGCGTCGATGAGGAGGTTTCACGCGCCTTTTCCAGTGAGCCATCTGATCCGGAAGACTTAGCCTACGTGCCTCGAGGAGAGGTCTCATTGATGAACCTGTCGAGAACGGCAGCCAGGCAATTGCCCGGTCAACTGGACATTGAGGCAAAAATCAACCACAGCGTCCTGTCGAAGCAGCAGAAGCAGTTTTCCAACCTTCTGCTGGACTCCTGTCAGGTGATTCTCTCCAATCCAAACTCGACGCCAGCGGAAATTGAGTGCATGCAAACTGCCTTTCGCAAATGCGGTAATGATGACTTAGAACAATGGTCGTTATGATCACATTCTCATTGGCTGACTTGACCAAACTTTCACAGGTAGTTATCTTGAGGAGGACAACCAGAGTCGTCTAAAGGCACTCATCTTTAGCGTCCGCGACACACTGCTAAATTGCGGTAACGGCAGCCAGTTCATCAACAGCAGCAACAGCAGCAACAATTCTTCGATTACCAAAAATTTACTAGAAATTATCGAGCTTTCTGCGAGTTGTAAGAGTTTTTTGCGTAGCTCTGAATATTTGCATAATAATTTACAATTTACTTTTTGTTTAGCATGGAAGTTCAGCCAATCCCAACAGATCTACTATTTTCCATACACAAAGATGGACTAGGAGGGAAAAGAGACACTGGCTCTCTTCTAGCCTTCATGTGCACATTTTGCCTCATTGATTTTCTATCGAGTGATCAAGTGTGATTAGTCGCGGACTTTGATTACGCGCCATTCATTCATCCGCACGCAAATAAATTGATCCTCTGAAAATGGAATATCGCTTAGCTGACATGTGTTTACGAGAGATGGGAAAGGGGGGAAGTGCGATATGCACAGAAGGCTGACAGTCGAACTTGTGCGTTATCGACACTGGCCATCTCTATTCTGCATCACTGCCGTCCGACACTGCGCTCATCTGCCTTGCTGTCCAGGAAGACTAGCTTGCGCCTATCACCCGAGCAGAACATGTTACACTAGTAGTGGTGGTAGTGGTGGCGGTGGTGGTACCAGCAGTCCATTTACATTTGTAGGCAGATTTATTATTGCGTTAATGAGAATTCAGTTCACAGAGGAAGCACGAAGATGAGGGGAAAAAGGATGCAGGAAAAGGAAAAAAGCGCATCAGCAAAGAAGTGAGAGCTGAGAAAAAAAAGTACAGTAGTAAAAAGTGATGGCTATTTACAAAGAAAGGTAAGTGTGTGTATGTGTGTGTGTGTGTTTGGCAGAACCACTCTGACCACTGTGACTACGAACACTTGTGTCGTTGCACACCGTCTAAAAGAAAGTGTTCTTGACTCTCTCATAAGCACTCTTCTTCTGCTTCAGCAACAGCAGTCGTTTGGCTGCCAAAGACAAGAAGTACACACAGGCAGCAGCAGTCAATGTTTGGCGATGGGGAGTGTTTGCAGATGAAAAACGTAGGCACGGAAGGGATCACAAGTTGACAGTGCAGTGCGAACAGTGAGAGGGAAATAGGCGATAAAGTGAATCTAAGTGATGAATCGATACGGCGCCATTCGAATACGGCACTCAGTAATCAGCGACTGGAAAGCGAGAAAGAGAGAGAGAGAGAGAGAGAGGGGGGAACGTGACGGCATCAGTCAGTCGTCTGGATGGAGTGGAGCGACGAGTTATATGCCCTAATCGGCGTTGATTAGCATGCAAAGTTGCTGCCTAATCAGCAGCGGATCGTCTATCCGAGTTTCTTTCGAGAGGCAACTGAGAACGATTGCTCAGAATCGTTCCATCATATCGAGAACAATTGGCAGCACGGAGAGGGGTTTCTTGCTCTTGGCGTCAACAGGCAGGTTCTTGGTCACCTTCTTGCAGTTGTGCGAGTCCCACAGGAGATCGTTGCCGCAGAACAGATCAAACACCTCGCCACTGTAGCCCTTGATGGCTTCTCGCATGTAGGTGCGAGAGCGGTCGTCGCACTTTTCCTCTTCGCTGATGGCACTCGTTGAGCACTGGGTGCTCTTGCTGATGAAACTAATTAATAACGGAAAGAGATAAAGAAAGAAAAAAGTGAGAGAGTGAAAGTGATGAGGCAAATTAGAGTGGTGGTGGTGTTGGTGGTGATGGGAGGAAAAACATTAGCGCAACTCTGCAGACTGCTGACTACTGCAAAGTTGAAAAGTGCACTTTACTCTACTCCATCGCAGTCAATGTACACTTTCGCCGGGCGACACTCGTGATTTGCATAAATTTGCCATCGATTTGCCTGTCTGACAGGCTCAGCAACTAGCCGCTTGTTCTTTTTCTGAAACCAGAAGGCTGCCCTCCTTCAACGTGCACAGACAGTCGATTTAAGAAAATTATGAAATTTTAATGACACCAAGCACCCGTGCTCAGCACTAGGGATCGCTAATTTGCCAAAGTTTGCATCACTTACCAGCAAGAAAGCGNACCAGAAAGCTGCCCTCCTTCGACGTGCACAGACAGTCGATTCAAGAAAATTATGAAATTTTAATGACACCAAGCACCCGTGCTCAGCACTAGGGATCGCTAATTTGCCAAAGTTTGCATCACTTACCAGCAAGAAAGCGGAATCCAGTCCTCCTTTTTTGCTTTGAGAATCCTCATCGTATCTCTAATTGCATTATCATTGCACACATCGATTCGGGATTTGGTCGCATTTATGCACTCCTTGTGCTCGAGGTACTCTGCAGAGTTTGGCGGGGGTGAAGGGGAAAGGAGAAAAATACACATTAAATCACATTGTTTATCCTCAAACTGCTCAACGTGATAGTCTTTCAGAGGCCGATTTTTCTACTTGCTACCATTTTCCAAAAAATGACTTACTCTTGATGCCGGTATGACTGCACCGCTTNGGGGAAAGGAGAAAAATACACATTAAATCACATTGTTTATCCTCAAACTGCTCAACGTGATAGTCTTTCAGAGGCCGATTTTTCTACTTGCTACCATCTTCCAAAAAATGACTTACTCTTGATGCCGGTATGACTGCACCGCTTGCGGAGCACATGAGTCGGACCAGCCAACATCAAGTTGATATACTGCCGGGCGAATGGCTTCACGCAGTTGCTGGCAAAGTTTCGTACGCAAATTTCAGCTTCACGAGTTAGGCTGCAGGAAGAGAAAAGAATAGAGGGATAGAAGACACCGTTAGTTGGACGGGAAGTAAAGCGTTGAGAGGCAGTTTGGACGAGTGTTTCACAGTCAAGTAGACTAGAAAGGCGACAGTGGCAGTTGTCTGGGGCCCAACTCCCCAGTCAGCTTTCCGGCTCTTCGCTAACCTATATTAATCGTCCTATTAATGTGCTCTGTCACTCGAAGCAGATCGAAGC